AAATATAAGACATTGATAATTAATTCATTATTATAAAAAAATATTAATTAAAACCTTAATTTTTTTAAAAAAATATATTTGAAACCTCATTAAATACTCTCTACAAAAACCTTGATAATAATAATTAAAATTTTAATGGATAATTTTTTTAAAAAAGTAATAAATAAAATAGGTGTGTAGTTGAAAAAATAATTATAAAAGTTACCAAATATCTTATATTTTGAACTAAATAAGACTTTTAGAATATGTTTTATATTGTGTGGTCCAGGAGGAGTAGATATTAAAAGTTGGGAAGCACAATCACTTTAGCACTTAGGCTTTTGTAAACATATTGAGTTCCTAATCTCAGCCACATTTAAAATTTACACTTTTGATATGAGCACCTCACACAATAGCAGGCCTGCAATTGCTCCAACCACTGCTTAACTTTCTTTATCAACTTTGTGCAGGCAAAATATGAAATACCACCCCAAATCACCACACCATCAAAAACTTGATGCCACTTTAATAGTATAATATATCATATTCAATTTTAATTTCCAGGTCAATATCCAAGTATTTACTTGTCAATAGCTAATATCAAATAAGTATGTGATATATAGTTGTTAAGAAATATTAAAGTTAATCTAAGTCAATTAAGTTTTGCAAATAAATAAGTTAAGTGTGATCTTGACCAGATAAAAAAAAATTAATAACACGCATGGGCATGGAAAAATTCAGCAGGGCCAATTATTGAGAAAGCATTTTAATATTTTTAACGGTAACTATTTTTTGCACACATTTTTAACTATTGGTTACTATAGCTTAGGGCAGTTAGTAATTACCTGAAAAGGGAAAAGCAATTTCTTCGTTATAGGTGGGGCCTATGTTTATGATTTTTTTTTTTTTATTTCATCACCCTATCTCCTAAAAATCTTAGGGTATTACTATCTCCATCTAGACTAATCTTAATCGTCATTGTGAAGGATTATTATTACCAAAAGCAATCTCACTTAAATTAAAGATAGAAATTAATCTAGGACTAAAGTTTGTATGGATAATTAAAGATAGAAATTAATCTCTTAAACCATAAAGATCAAATTTAAATTGATTTAAAATATTAAAATCAACGTAATAATAAAAATTGAATTATTTTTATCTTTTAGACCGTTATATTATAATTATATCTATTATAATATAATTCAAGAGAACTCAATACAAATTTATTTCAAAATTAAGTATATTATTATCTATTAAATTCGATGCATTATAATTCTGATAATATAGCTGAATAATATATTGTTCTTAACATTTGCATTCATCTTTCTTCTACAAAGTCTTTCATTATACTACAACTAATTCATGATATTATTTTCGTGAAATCTTTTTGAATTATTTGTAATGGCGTGCATTGCATCGAAGTAAAATCTAGTTTTTTGCAATGCATGAAACTAAATTTACCTAATTTTTGAATGGTCAAAGGGACATATAAATGCATGCATGCTCTTTAGCAATCATAAATAATTAATTTGTATTTTTTTTCCCTTCCTATTTGAACACTATATACTCCCACATGTTCATATATAGTATAAGACACTTTCAACATGTATTACCAATATTAAGAAAAATTATTTTTTTAATCTCATGAAAAAGTGGCTTTTTTTATTTATTTATTTTGCCCTTACCAACAACTAACAGCATAATTTCCTTAACATAATTATTCAATTTGTATTGACCAACTCACCAATAGAGGTAAGAATAAAAATATATTTCTTGAGACTTCTATAAAGCATCCTAAATTTTAGACCGAAAATAATTTAAAAAAACAATATTGTATTATAAACGGGAAGGATTATACTATCTTAGCTTAAGGTTATAAAGTATGTATAGTTACAAAGTTGAGAGAAAATGCCTTAAATTAATAAATTAGTGAGTGAGGAAGTGTCAATTTCATGGCACATGTGGTTTTTATAGTCTTTTTGGTATAACCAATATTCTCAATGGCCATTATTTTATAGGACATACATTTCAGTGACACATGCATGTATAAAATTTAAATAATCAAAAATTAGAAATAAAAACAAAAGATAATTAAAAAACAAGCGCACATATAAAAAAATATATTATCACCTTTAAAATAGTTTTCTTCGAAAAACTTGAACTCGTAACGTGTAAAGCTGGGATTTGTCTCCAAATTAAGATCACTTTCTTGGGTTTATAGTGTCGAACAGCACAAATCGAAAATCATTGTCGTCGCATTTGTTTTTGTCACAGGTATTTTCTTAATTACATGATGTCAAATTACTCAGATCAATAGAAATTGCTTCTAGTTAAAGAAGTTATTGCCATTTAAATACGAGATTTTGAATTTAATTAAGGGAGAATCACATCCAAGGATAACTCAAAAAAATTATTTACATATAAGGATCAATACACAATAGATTATTATTAAAATGAAAATATAACTTATTTTTCTCAAATAGAATTTGTTGTTAGTCATTATTTATGAACAATTTATTTAAGTGGTCCTTAGATGTAATTCTCCCTTTAATTAAACTTGTTTGAAGACAAAAAAGGTTTGTGAGATAGCTACTCTCAATTAGCCAAAGTCCAACAATATTTGAATCCGGCTTAGTTAGTTCTCCATATTAAAAAATATCCAAGGCCTTTTTTTAACGTAACACAAACATAGAACCATTGTCAATAATGCCTTGGATATTTTTTTTATATAGATAACCATTGTCAATAACGCCTAGGGTATTTAAACTTTTTTTTATTTGAATTTGTCTTAGAATTGATACATACAAATGTGTGTGAACCATTCATAAGTCTTCATGAAATTGTCAACAATACTTTATATCATTTATAAATGACTACTCCTAGCATGTGTATATATATTTAATTTATGAAAAATCACAAGTTTTGGATATGTTCAAAATCTTTAAGGAAGAAGTTGAGAATCAATTCAATAAAAGAATTAAGAGGCTAAACCAATCTCTTCAAGATATGGTGAGGAGTATGATTAATCATTCCACCTTAATAGAGTCACTCTAGGAACAGACAATTAAAACAATAGCCTATATTTTGAACCAGACGATTTAGTAACCCATATTTGAACAGTGTCAATTAAAGCAATTGCTAAAACACCTTATAAGCCTTAGGAAAAGAAGCTAGATTCCAAAACTGTTGGTGGTTATTTTATTGGTTACTTTGAACGTTCTAGTGGCTTATAAGTTTTATGATCCCACACTTAAAACTATGTTTGAGATAGGAACTGCATGCTTTTTTGAAGATGTTGAGTTGGGAGAGGGGTTTCTTTGTTTCTTTAGCATCATTTTTCTTCCACTTCTTAATTATGACCATTCATTGAATTTATGACTAAAACAAAATTCATTTAATGCAGTGGTGAAAATGGTTATGATTAGGAAGTAGAGTAAAAATGGTAATAAAAAAATGAAGAGACCCCTCTTCTTGTTGAGTTTGGAGGAGAAATAAGATTAGAAAAAATTATATTTGAGGAAGAGTTGGTTTCAATTCCAAAACCAATTCTTACAAGATAATGTTAATCAAAACTTCATTCAAGATCAAGTAATTGTTTTTATGGAAGATCAACTAAACATTCTTATAGAACAAACTCAATAGCCTCAACAATCACCTCAATTGCATAGACCTACAAGAGAAAGCAGAAAATCAATTTTGGAGGGTTTTATTTGTGTTTCTTCATTGTTTTAAAATTGGCAGTGACGGTGCAAAAACAAGTTATTTGTTAATTGTGCTAGAGCTCTATTATTCTAGTCCCTTCATATAAGGTAGGAGAAAGTGTTAAAATGTATTGTTTGCAAGACTAATCAACAACCCTCAAAGTGCATGATTCAAACCAAACAACTTGATTGCTGCCGCCAACACTTGTACCCTTCACAACAATTTTGTAAATCTCTTGCGCCATGCTTTGGGACATGGCTTAAGCCCACAATAGAGGCTTCTCAAGTCTGTTTACTTAATTACTTTGTCTCTTCCCATTGAACCTAAGTGGTAAACTCATATTTACCTCTTCAGCTAAATCACCAATCAAGAATGAATTTTTTTACGTCGAAATGTTGAAGATTCCAATTAAGATTGCTAAGGATAGATACAAATGTCAGATTATAGTTTATCTCACAAGTCTGTGCAAAGACTTGAGCAACTAACAAATGACTAATTAATCAATTGGTTGTTTGCCATGCGGCAAAACTAACTTCTCTTTTGCTTCTCATTCCATGAGTGCTTTTTTCCACTTTGGATTCTCTGGTGCCTATTGGATGTTACTGAGGACCTTAATTAATCATGTCCAAGCTAATGAAAACAAAATAATATTTAATTACGAATGTTTGGCTTTTTTTGTTGGCCAAAAATTTATTTGCCCAAAGTTTACTTAATAAAAATTAGTTTAGTGAAATTATTTATTGCAACAAAATTTGCATTTGAATGCATAATTTTAAAAACTAGTTTGAAATTAGTGTGGATTATATAAAAAGGACACGAATTTTATATGTAATTTTTGTTATGTAATACTGAATTTATTTAAAATATATAAATAATATAAATCTAATAATGTGAATAATTTATGTATAATATATAAATTGGTTTCTTCCTTACCCATGATGGAATAGACCATTTTGCTCACTTAATTCGTTCTCCATTCTATGACCAGGCACGATGATATTTCTGCGGACATGTGTGAAATATTTCAGATTTTCAAATATTTCCTACCTTTGTTACAAGACATCTAGAAACATAAGCCGCACTATATGGTATTAATTACATTTTTTAATATTACGTTTATTTAAATTTATTAATTATGAGAGAAAATATAATGCAAGTTTATTTTTTTAATTTAAATAGAAATATAATTAAAATTTTATTTATTTTCTCATAAAATTAATAACAACTCGATTTCCATAGTTCTGACCAAATAGTTACAGATTCCTTATAAAAGAGACCGGAGAGAAAAATTTGGGAGATGGCCATCCTCCTCTTCACGCTTTATGTATAAAATTTTCTTCTACAATAATATATTTCAAAGGAAGAAAATATCTTCCCTTACCCAACTTCCAATGCATTTTAATTGACTTGCAACAGCTGATTGTGGTTAGCTAAAAAGTCTGCCTCAGTTTTGCTGCCTACAGGAATATGTAAAACTGCTTACCATTCACTAGTGCCAGCAAAAAATGGTAGTCAAGCAACAAAAATGGCAGGCATATCTACATCATGTCATGCAAGTCCGAACAGTTCATTTTTCGAAAAACATACATAACCCACACACACTACCTTGGCAGGCGATATAGAACCCGCAACCTTGTCCAATGAGCCTTAGCAAAAGGTCATTGGTGCTGTGTTGGCACCGAAGGCAATAGTAGAACGCTTTGAACCATACTTACACGTCTACACCTAAAGCAGACATTCAAATAAATTACAGATGATGATTATTGATCAAGAACGGGGAGCTGCTATTTGCTGCTTCTTTATCCTGTTTCCCTGCCTAACCATACTGCATTTTGAAGCATGAAAAGGAAATGTTAGAAGTATAACAGAAGTATATAATAATTCGTAATACTGGGAATTCAATGAACTTGGGGAAAAATCAAAATCCTTCAGTTAAAAGATTTAGCCTGAGTTGAGATGGTCTTGACATTATATCAGAACCTTTGTAGTGAGAAGTTCAACTCTATATTCAATGACCAGGTTCTCACTAGATGGATCACGCCAGGCACTAAAAGAGTTATGTTTGGCAACACCTTACGGAAAAAAGCACCAAATTGTATTACCCCTTTGTTATTGTTATTCAACAAATTTCATCTTTTTTTATTGCTTTTTTTGTGCAGGCATTTCAGAGTTATTATCTTTCACAGCACCTCTCCATTCCCCTTTCCATCATGCAACCAGGCCTACCCTTAAAAGCCATGTAGTCAGTGACACGACTAATTTGGGAGAGGCATGATAAATATAAAGAGTACAACAAGCTTTATTTCATTAGGTGGAATTGCCTGCATGAATTGCATGATGCAATTGTGCTCTCTAGATATAAAGAATATAGTATTAAATTAACCAATTAATGACTAGGGTGTGATGGGGATACCATCAATACAAGCCTGACAACAATAGTCAAGGCTACTTGGAAACAAGTACCTAATATCATGTGGGGTGATCAATATCCACTGGGATCCTTGTTCCACAGCAAAATCCACAAGAGTATCCAAGCTAATCTTTCGACTGACTGCATCCTGTAGATGAATGAAAAGAAATGTCCATTTTCCAACAATTATCAATTCCAATCACAAAGGCATGAAGAGAGAAATACAAAAGAGACAAACATGACCATACCATAAAAACATCAAATTCATCCATTGCGCGGAAAGGGGATTCTGTCATGTCATGAAGGGCTAGTGTAAAGCATAATGTTGAAAAAGAACGCTCCCCACCTAAAGAGAAGAACAAGGAACATGAAATGAATGGTAAATAATAGCTTTGATTGGTAGAAAAAGGAACGAAGATGTTCCTTGTGGGTACATAATTAAATACTATAACAGCAGAAAGTAACATAGGCTCAGCAGAAAGTGGGACAAAAAGCAAATGAGGGGGGAGTAATAAAAATCTGCATCGTATAAGATGCATCACTAATTAAATTTCTGTTTGCTTCATTTGCACTTCTCACAATCGAAGCTACATGGATTTCACATGGCTTATGCATAGCAAATGCTGATCAAGAATTTCAGGAAATAAATGTCTTACTGGACAATTGATAACTTGCCCTAATAAGCTTAAAGAGAAGTTTTATTGGACCACTATAAAATCAATGATGTTATATGGTAGTGAATGTTGGGCATTGAAAGGGTAACACAAGCATAAAATTAAAAGGTGCAGCAGAGATGATGATATGGAAATGGATGTGTGGTCATATAAGAAGAGATAGGATAAGTAATAATCATATGAAAGGACAAGTTGGTGCAGCATCTATTGAGCATAAAAAGGTAAAAAATCATTTAAGATGGTTTGGTCATGCACTAGGAAGGCCATTGCAGTCTAAGGAGGGGCGGGAGAAGAAAGTCATTTAAGAAGCCCGTTGCAATCTTGGTCTCCCTCTATCTCTCCTTAGCCCCATAAAGAGAGATAGAGGGAGACCAAGAAGGACATTTTTGAAAGTCATTGAATGTAGAGCATTGATTGGCACAAAAAAGCTTATGATGGAGAACAACTAGCAGGGGCCTAAAGATTCAGCATCGGTCTTGAACTTATCCAATCAAAAGGGAAACAATCAAATGTACTAGCTACATCATTTTGTATGGGTTTTGCATTGCACAAATTTCACAAGCAAGTTTTAATCAGAAGGGGACCAATAAGTCAGAACTATACCATAAAGTCAATCACATTTGAGGTGTAAATTATAGAAAAAATACTTCAAATGGTTAATTCTGCTCCCTATAGAAATAATTAAAAATATACATTGTGATTTATATGAACTATATGTGTGTGTATAATCAATAGAAGTATGAAATATACATGAATTTAAGGTAAAAGAACATAGACAAACACAGGATAGGAATCATGCACAAACACCAGTCATAGACGCGGCGGGAAGTCTTTATTCATATTGGAACATCCTATTAGTAACACAAAATAACTGAATGTATAACGAGAGCCAAATTCATCATAATTCCATTGCAATTTATACAATACAATTAAGTCCACAAAAAAAGATTGGATCATTCATTGATAATCCACACACATCATTCATCAAACAATTGGAGCTGCTATGTAGAGCTCTTGTGTAGGTTTATTAACCAAATCATAATATAAATAAATGCTAGAAATTAACCCGAAAGGCCTCGTGTGTCACGAACAGCACATCCCGATGCATCTTGAGGCATTTGCACCTATACATGGAAGATAAAGGAGAGCAAATATGTGTAACAGCTATGAGCAAATTGAAGAGACTTATCGTTAGCACTTCATCTTTCTACCTAGGAACGGTAAAGGAAGACAATGGAATAGAAGTCACACCTATTATGCCAAGATTCTTGTTTTTAAACCTTTTTACCTGTTCCTTTCTCTCTACATTTTAGTGTTTTCCTATATGTAATGGCAGCAAAAGAACAACAGTATAACATAAGGAGAATAACTTACCTTGATTGAAAGGGATTTTTCTTCATAATTGACTGTGATAAGTCCACTGAATCCTTTTCTTCCCAAATGGGCATTAAATCTACTCAAGATCATAATAATTAAAATGAAAATATATGTCTAATATCAATGCAACAGAGAAAAATAGAAGAGGAAAAGATGGCCCATGCCGAGAAAAAATCATACTTCCAAGACAACAAGCGCCTCAAAGAGTTGCATTTCTGCGAAACTTGTTCTTTCGCAATTCTAAGGCTCTCTGGCAAGCCTGCAATGAATGTTGAAAAAAAACTTGATAAAAGTTTTATTAGCAATAAAACTTGAACAACGAAATGACTAAAATTGCATAAGAAACAATTCAACAATGAAAACATCATGAAGAGATGAGCATTTGTTCAACATGAGTGGGGAAAAAAGTGAGAACAATATAAAAGCAGACCACAAAGTGTTAAAACGCATGGAATAAACTACAGAGGACCCAATTAACAAGAAGTTCATGAACAAACACTTTGTGTGAAATATGTCAAGTTTCATTGATGATTAGCAAAATACAGGAGAAACAATCAGAATTTAATTCCTAACCTCTAGCCTTAATTGGTGAAATTCTCTCTTCTAATAATCCCTTGATTTGTGCAAAGAAAATACCTTTTTATGCAAAAAATTGAATATTTACTACCTATACCAATTCAAAGAACAAGTGGTCTATGCTTAGCTAAATAGTGCTAATTGTTAAAACAGATAAATATCTTATTGCATTGTTCTGATTACTCCTAATTTTTCTAGAATCAAATAATTCAATAGAAAGCTGCGCTCTCTCTATCTCTTGTCATGGGTGTGATGAAGGGGTCACTAATCAGTAACAAGGCAAAAGATGGTTCATCAGAGCAACTTATAGCACAAAAAACTTTTGGTATCAAACCACCCTTGTTCAAAAGATAAATTGGATTCCAACTAATCCAAGGTGAGCTAGGTAGGGCTGCAAGGGTGGCATTGCAGCGAAGCTTTCCCAATGATTTTTTTTTTTTTAATACAGCACATCAGCATGACATCAAACCATCGATAACAGATCTTTAGTTGGAGCCAGCTTTGCCTTAATGAAAATATCAAAGAAAATCACAAAAATGATATGAATATCGGATTTGAATGATTTTTTGGGGGCAGAATAGAAATATACAAATCATGTTCCTTGAAATGTGATATAAATGAAAGAGTATCATAATGGGTGTCAATATATTTTGAGGATTTGCATCTTCCCAAACAAGTAGTTCAGAAATTTGTATACAAGCATACAAATAAAGGTAAAAAACCAATATTATAATTAATAGATATTTTCTTGAAGGCAAAAACTAATAGCAAGAATGGATGTCAAGTCTCAATTAAAAGTTTTCCTCCTAAGAGAATTAAGTCTTTCTTTCACAGAAATGAGGAAGGAAATTGATGTCAATGTTGTCAAAAGCAACAATTTTTAGGAACTACAATAAAATCAAATTAGCTAAGTAATACAGAATGCTGATTTTCAAAAATTAGAGGCCAAGATATCCACTAATAATCTATCATGATAAGAAAAAAGTAAGCATACATACATTCAACTTTGTTCGATAGGCTTTGTAAGCTTGCTGCTTTCTCATGATCTTGCGTTCTTTTTTCTCACACAACATCCTGAGATCATCTAATGATTCTGTGTATCTACAGAGGGGTAAAAACAGAGATATGTAGTCAAAGGATCCTGCCCGGCTGATGAAACAACTGAAAATGAACTTCAATCAAATGACAGACCTTTGGCTCTCACGCTTGAGTCTCTGAGCTAGTCTTTCTATCTGTGCACTGAGTTGCTCTGGTGTGCTTCCATCACAACCACCTAAAGATTGAAGTTCATCCTCAAACAAATTATAGAAGCCTTTTTGTTGTACTCCTGCAAAATTCAACCAGAGCAGAAATCAACTATATTTAGGCAAAATCCTCCCCCCTCCTCAAAAAAAAAAAAAAAAAAAGTCTGAAAGGTCAATAATGAAAAGTAACCAGCTGGACGATACTTTTTTCTTTTCTTTTCATTTGTTTGGTTTTTTTTTTTTTTAACTTATGTCTAAAGTAGATGATGCATGAGCAGCCAGATGATACTCTTTTAATTTCACCAAATGTTTGAGTCAGATGGGGTTTTCGATAAGGTCCTTGCAGGAAAGGACCTTTAGAGTTAAGTGGAGAAAAAGGGTTACAGCCCTCCAGGTTTTGTCATCTTGGTGTTTCCATGATTTCATCCTTTATTAACAGGAGCTTAATATAAGTGTTAAACTCAAGGAAGAAAGGGGTCAAGCAACAAAATACTTGTATTTCAATACAAAAAGGCAAGGGGATCATGTGAACCCCTTTCATTTACTTTAGTGACCCCCATTTTGAACAGAATGACAATAAAGCTGTTGATAGAGGACATGTAAAGATGTTTCTATCGATATACTTGTCTATAGATGTTTCTAAAGCCACAGACCACTTAGCTTAAACAACAAACAATGGGCACCCTAAGGGATTGAAAGCCTTCAAAGTCTAGCAATTGAAATGGAAGAACCAACACACTTGGATATCCAAAAGAGCATTTTATACTGCTCAATGTGAAACTTAGGAATTCATACTCCCTTCATCTCACTAGATACCTCGCAAACACTTTCTTTATTTTCATATTTTTAAGACTATCTCTTGATTTGTGATAATTTCGCAAATAGTAATTGTGGAGGATTCATTGAAAGTGCTTGATGGGCTCTCAAGTGGGGTGAGGAATCCTCTATGAAAACTTAGCAACTGAACTAAGGTAGGAGAAATAACCCACTAAAATACCCCAAAAAGCATACCATACTACTCAATTCAATGTAAGACTTAGGCATTAAAGTCTGTTTGGCATAAGGGCCTCGAACGTAGGGGGCACAAATGCACTCAACCTGTTGCACTAACAAACGGGTTTTGATTGCAGGCAGTGGAAAGACTATATTATATGGAATCACTGTTGGGTAAAGATCATGGACTGCTGTGCTTGATTGCCAAGAAAACATGGACAGAAATTATAGATCCAGATTTATCAAGTTTTGGCATGCCATTGAAGCCACTATTGAAGTATTTAAGTAGAGCTCTACTGTAGCTGCATCCATATTCTAAATGCGAGATGTGATCCCATTTTTTGAGAGTTGATTCTCAGGCAATGATATTCAAGTAACAAAAAGTATACCGTTTTTACAGTAACATTGAAGACAAGTTATGGCTCAAAGTAAAATAGTGCTAATATTGTTGAAGCAGGCCATCATATGGCTGGATGCTATTTGTCTTCAGTGGAACATGATAAGCCTAGCACTTCCTCACAAATCCCTGCAGCCTTTTATCTTTTCATGGCTGGCACCAGACATGATGTATAATCATAAAAAATATCAATGACGGGAAAGGACATTATGAAGTTATTGACTATTAGTAGCTATTAGTGGGCAAAAGCCTAGCCTATAATAGATACCCATTGTAAATTTAGATTATGGCTTGAATAATATAGCAAGTATTTCAAATTGCTCTCCTTGTTCTCTTCTCCAACCTTCTATGATCTTCCCTCTTCTCACCTTTGAACTCTCTCTATCTCTCTTTTTTCCCTCTTTCTCTTCTCTCTTCTATCCCTTTTTCTCTCTTTCTATCTTTGTCACAATTACAGAGATGCATCAGTGGTATCAAAGCCAAGCTATCCTAGGCCATGAAAAACACTCCATTCCACAATTAAAACAACAACCAGATGTGGCTCGTCAGCAGGGCGGCGTGAGAATTTAATGAATTCTTTGATAGTCACACTAGTCAATTAAGATTGCCTGAAAGGTATTTGATTCTATGTATGTGGCGGGCCTCAAGCCAGAAATTGTAAAGTCAACGTGTCTCTTCAAGCCACTTACATTATTGTAAGCAAGTCTTGCTTGCATGCAAGAAACTTCAATTCAAGATGGGTTGAGGAGGTCAACAAGGTGGAAAGGAACACACACACCTAAAGGAAATTGTGGGTCACAAGAATTTTTGGAGCTGGATGAGGAAAAACATTCCTACAAGATTGTGGGAGCCAAAAGGCCCAGAATAACTCTAGAAATAATGGGGATCCCAAAAATATGACAATTGAAGTTGAAAAGGAGTTGGGTCTTCCTTGCTATCATCAAAAGCGCGCAACGAAGTGCAAGAATGGAGAGTCCATGATTTCAAGAAAGTTTCTTTGTGCAAGTTCTAAAAGAAGGAGGCTGGGGTATCTACAAACAAGACCTTTCAAACTCTTTAACAGCAGGTGTTGGCAAACCCATCTATCATGGCTTAAGTTTTGGGACCCAAAGCTGGTAAAAGATGCAGCTTGGTCAACTCACAAGGCCACCGTTACCCTCTGTCTTAGTCTTCTTGCTAGTGTTCTTTATGTTCATAACCTTCAATCCCTCTCCGCCGCAGTCTTCTTTGGTTTTGTTGTCGCCTTCAGCTCTTGCTTCTCTTTCACCTTTGCTGAGTTATTGTTCTTCCACATTGCTGGGTTCTGTCTGCCAGTCACCATGGTCCTGCTCTGTCATCATTGTGGCTGTCCATTGCTAGTTCTTGTGCTCCTAAGGTTTTGCGAAGTGAGGATTGTTGTTCGAGCTTCAAGAAATAAAAAGGAACTCCCTGTCTTTT